ATTCGGAGGGGTCAGAATGGATTAACTGTATTTACATTGAACCTTATGGGAAAATTTGATTCGGTTCATGACCGGTTCGGTTCGCGACCAGAGTCACGGAACAAATTAAGTTTGTGAACCGAGGTACCACTGTATTAAAATTACAAAAATCATGGGTGAATAAAAGGATCTTCTCTATGTGTAAACAAACAGCATTCTCCATTTACCTTTTGGGAAGAGTGCACAGTCTAAAGGACTGGTTTCCCAGTTACCACATATCTTGCCCTAAAAAGCAGTTGAGCCCCAAAAAAGGGCTTCAGAGATTGATCTGTCAAATATCTGATTAAGGATTCTGTTATTGTTCTTGCTCTTAGAGATGTTATTTCCTGCTAAAGAAATAAACTTATTTATTTGTTACTCCCTTTAAGGAAATAAGGAGCCCACATTACACACAACATGTAAGCCACAGTTTGTCTTTATTTGGGATGTGTGTTGTATCCCTGAATTCCTTTATTTATAGTCCTAGAGCTCTTCATGGTCATTTTTCTGTACACGCATACCTCATGGACAATCAAATATAAATGTATACCAGCCATAGAACAGTAGTAGTATAAAAATCCTTCTGAACCTGAAGGACCAGTTTCAAATTCTAAACTCAGCCATTTTGAGCTCAAATACACTTCCAGAAAGGTAATAACAGCAATAGTTAATACTTCTGGGTAAGGCCTGAACATCCTGTTTCAACTTTGAGACATGTTGCATATCTCTAAAGAACAGTCGGAGCCAGTTTGGTGTACTGTAGTGGTTAAGGCATCAGGAGAGAAACCGGGAGACCGTGACTTCTAGTCCCACCTAGGCACAAAGCCAGCTGGGTGACCTTGGGCCAGTCCCTCTCTCTCAGCCCTAGGAAGAAGGCAATGGCAAGCCCCTTCTGAAAGACCTTGCCAAGAAAACTGCAGGGACTTGTCCAGGCAGTTTCCGAGAATCAGACACAATTGAATGGATTAAAAAAAAAAAAAAAAAACAATAGTTATTTGGTCCTGTCTAAGCATGATATGTGAACCTAGCCTCTTTCTTTGGAGGGTGTATATGTTAGAAAGCTGAAAAAGAAAAAAGTATAAGGCCAAATGGGTCTGCAACATGCAAATGTGATTATTTTTTTGTCGAATAAAAAGTAAAGTAGTGTTTATTTACATAAAGTACTCCTTTTAATTCTAAAAAAAGTTATTAGAGGAGTTTATTTTGTGGATTAGTTGAGAACTAGGTGCCTGTATTCTTCTGTATAGGATAAAAGAGAGATGATATGTTCTCTGGAAAAAAATGTGTATCCAGGAGGAATGTGAGATTAATGTTTGGTTCTTCATTCTGCCAGGCTGGTTGTTAATTACTTATTTATTAGGGTGCCTCATTGCTTGGCAACCATTTGTATCAAGACTGCATAGCCCACAGTTTGCTGCTGCCGGGATTCAGATTTACATGGTGAGGGGGATCTGCCCTTCATCTCTCTACTTTTCTCTCCCCCCTTGACAAGATGGAGAAAACAGAAAACAGCTGCTGCTTCTAAAAGGCAGTCTAAGACTACAAAGTTTTCCCAAAGAATAGAAAGAAGTCTTAAGACCCACCTTCTAACTAACAGGGGTGAAGTTAACCCATTCCTGTTGGGTTCATATTCCGTTGACCCCAAAGATACCTCACGGTAAACCCAACTACCCTTCAGTCCCTAAACCTCTTGCAGTTGTAAACCACTTCAAGAGGTTTAATAAGAAGAGATACACAAGCATTTTAAATAAAAATAAGTACAAAATAAAATTGACAGTTTAATTTTGGCACATTAAGAATGCTCTTGAAAGTTTCATAACACTGCAGCAGGTTGGCTACTGCTAAGGATGTCTTAAATAATGCAGCTTGCTATTTTTGTGGTATATTAAAAGATTTAGAATAAATCTTTCTGTGATTTAATTTCATATCTAAGATACTATTTTTTTGCAGAGTTTGATCCAGGATGTGCTTATACATATTACTCTAGCATTAATGTTTTTATTTAGTTTTTAAAGATAGGCAGACTTACCTCAAAGTTGAGAACTCTGCCTCAATGTTGATATATTGACAATGTGGTGGAGGTCTGCTTTATGGAAAGGATATTCAGTTATGGTTATGCTAATTAAAGAGTCAATATGGTATAGCAATTAAGATGTTGGATTAGGACAAGAAAAGACCCAGGTTCTAGTCCACCTTTAGCCATGGAAGCTCACTTCGTGACTTTTGGACAAATCACCCTTTCTCAGCCCATCCTACCTCATGGGGTTATTGTTATGAGGAAGAATTGGAAAAGGGAGTTGTATGTATGGCTTGGGATCAGGTTATTTGTGGGACTGTCTTTCCCCGCTTATACCTATCCATCCTGTTACATCTGGCAGGAAGGGCATGCTCTGGGTCCTGTTTGCTAGGGAGCGTCAGCCGCCCAGAGTCCCCCATTGTGGGGAGATGGGCGGGGACAAGTTTACTAAATCAATCAATCAATCAGTCAATCAATCAATCAATCAATCTGGCAGGAGCCAGGAGGAGAGCCTTTCCTTTCATGATGCCAACCCTCTGGAACATCATTCCCCCAGTGATGAGACTCATCCCAACCTTGCTGGCCTTTAGCAAGGATTTGGAAACCAGGTTTTTTTTAGTCAAGCTGAGGGCCCCATATATGTGGCTGAGCCCATGTCATAGTTGTGCAAATTATTGTTGTTGCTTAGTTTTTCTCGGCTGCTATATGTTATTTATAATTTTTTAATGTGGCTTTTTATCTTGTTTTTAGATATTGTTAATTGCCCATCATCATAAATTTGAGATGGACAGCCATACAAATTGAATAAATAAATGTATGCCACCTTTTGCTGCAGGAAGAAAGACGGGATATAAATCTAGCACATTAATTAATTAGCTTATAAATATAAACTATATTTTAATTCATAGTTTTATAATTCATATTCTGTTTTATTTTCTTGGAAAGGCTGCCCATTCCCCCCACCCCAGTAGGAGGGCAAACTGATAGTTTCAGATTTTTTAAAATTTCAATTTTTACCTACCTAACTGGCATTGCATTAGTTAAGGATTGTGGGTGTTTACTCCAAACAATGTAGGAGGAATTAGATTTTCTATTTTGTATATGTAGGTATAAACTTTGGGTGACTACTGTTGGAAGAAATGTAAATAACAACTAAAAAACAGCAGAGAAATGTGGGTGCTTTTTAGTCATTGGAGAAAAAAATAAAATCAGCCTTTGTGCTGTGAGTGAAATTAAACGTATGAACCAAAAATCTTTAAAATGTGACTTCAGTGTATACTTTCTATTATATTCTTTTAACAGAACTACCAATGAAATTAAAAACCTGCAGTACCTACCTCGTACTAGCGAGCCTCGTGAAATGCTTTTTGAAGACAGGACGCGAGCACACGCAGATCACATAGGACAAGGATTTGAACGACAGACTACAGCTGCTGTAGGAGTATTAAAGGCAGTGCGTTGTGGAGAATGGTATGTAATTGCCAGTCTGTTCAGGAACAATATCTGCAGAATACTAGACATGTTTAGCATTGAGAAAAAGTGACTGAAAGTGGGATATGATAGCACCCTTCAAGTACTTGAAGGGTTGTCTCATAGAAAAAGGTCAAGTCTTGTTTTCTGTCATTCAAAAATGCAGGATATGGCATAATGATCTTTCCTTATAGATCAAGGCAATTTTGGATTAGGAAACATGTCCTATTGGTAAAGCAGTTTGAAGGTGGAACCAGTTAAACAGGGATGCTGAGATCTTCTTTACTGGATGTCTTCAGACATACCAATCAGGGATGCTTTAATTTGGATGCCTAGACTGAATGGAATGAAAGATTTTCCAAATCTTTTTCTAGACATATCATGGCAGAATTTTCTCACTAAACAGCATTCAGTAGCATAAAAAAAAGGAAGATATTTAAAATAATATTGAAGGAAGACATATTTTTGTTGCTATATTTATTAATGGGGTTAATCCACACAGAGTTATCTAGAAAAATGAAAATTATATCTTGATTGGAGAACTGTAATGCCTAGCACTTAAGGAATGGAATAATAATAATTAATCTTTTGGTTTGAATTGGGTTATGCACATTTTATTAAAAATATTTCCTTTTTCTGAAATTATTTGTTAGAATATAATAATAGGTATTCAAAAGGAAAATGCAGTATTAGTAGAATATGCTCTCATTTTGTAGAATAATCTTTTTTGTCCCATTTTGTCTCATAAGTACATACATGGAAATTTTTGGCTGATACCATTTCATTCCTGTGGTCCTCCCATGAATATATGAGTTGAGGATAGGTTTTGGACTCTGTATCGCATATGAAACCCATATGGCATAGCAGATGTAAAATGCTGTGAAAGTGAACTTGTAAATATTTCATTTTAATGCTGTCTAATAAATTGAAAACAGGAAAATGTTCTAACCTGAAGTATGATTTCTTTTCCTCATGAGCAAATTTAGATCAATCTAAATTTAGAACTGGTTTAGGAAGGTTATTTCTACTTACAAACTATGTAATTTTCTATTTCTTAGTTCTGTGAATTGTACTGAATTATTTAAGATTGGAAAATGAAAGTCAGTTGTTAAAGCATTGTTATGACTATGAGTGTTTTTATACCTGCTGATAATTGAATTACACTTTTTAAGATTGGAAAATGAAAGTGAGATGTTAAAGCATTGTTATGACTGTGAGCATTACCTGAAGACAGACTGATTTCAAGCATTACTGCAGAAGCTCTTCAGATATGTATTTAAGCTAGAACATGCTCCAGAACATGTATGTAAGGGAAGCTTTTACTATTAGCAATAATATATCTTGGGAAATGATTCTCAGTGACTTACATACGTTTCTGTAAAATGGAAAATTGATTTTTTGAAACAAAAGATTAAAATGATCATTTTATTATTATCATTAGAACTTTGTTCCGGTGAGTAATTGATGAGCTAAAATACTACTGACCATGTAGAACAAATAGCATAACAGAGAAATGAGAAGCACTTGTTTGTATTAAACTCAGGCCTGCTGCATTTGGAAAATTAGATGTATAGACTGAAAGTGGTCTTAACAGCAACCTTTTTGACAATGCTAGAAATAAAGGTAGTCCTCATTTAGTGACCATTCATAGGTACAGCAGTGATGAAAAAAAACTTTACGACCGTTCCTCTCATTTACGACTTTCACAGGTCTGTAAAGCAGAGGAAAGCTGAAGTAAGATTAAAAGCACAGTCGCGATTTCACTTAGTGACTGCTTCACTTAAAAACCGAGTTACTGGTTCCAATTGTGGTTGCTAAACAAGGACTACCTGTAAAGGTTAGGTAGACTAAAATACTAAGATACTTGCAGAGAGGGAGAAAGAATGAGAAAGGTACAAAGGAGACAGGGAGATCCTGTGGCAATTACACAAACTTAATGTAGTATTTTGCAGGTGATCCATATATGGAATCAGGAATAGCAGAAGAGCTGGTAGTAGAGAATGGCTAGCTGTGTGACCAGGCTCACTCTGTTTACCTCCTTTAGATTTTTCTCTGACTTCTCTCACAGGGATCTTTGAATTCCTCTAAAGGAGTTCAATGAAACCAAGGTATCTAGTAATCAGAAGGAAGACCACATATGTGGGACAAAACCGGACTCACATCTTGTTTGGGAATGCAATGAATTGTCCTGAAGATGACATTGGAATGTTGTGGAACTAGGTGCTTCAGAGGTAGAGCATAGAGATTCTCTGTCTCTAAGGGTTAGTTTGGTTAGATGATCACAGTGTTTCCAATAAATTTCCCATATTGCAAGCATGTTTTTCCCTTACTATATTAGGCTTTTTTTCCATTAGAAGACATAGAGCCAGGGTGGGTGGACATGGTAGAGAACCATAAGAAAGTCCTGAGCCATCAATATTTGAAAAAGGACATGATATGTAGGTGTTTCTGCCAGTGCTTCAAATCTCTCAGCAATTCAAAATAAAAAGGACAATAAAGAGGTTCTGCCTAGTTAATAGAAACTTGGAACTACTTGGTGGTCCAAACATCTCTGTAATAAAAGGATAGGAACAAAAGAACATTACAAGGAGTATTTTAATGACTCAATAATACGTTAGAAATTTTGGTGACCTGGACAGAGATGACTGGATTGTTTACCTCCAGGCTCTTACATGTAATTCTAAGACTCATCTTTGAATTTAAAGGTAGGGCAGGAAATCAAAGTACACATTTTGAAGGAATTAGACAACATAATAAAGAGCCTCTGTGTACAAAAACTAAATACAGCTCTTTCCCTTTTTGTGTTTCATGGGAGGGAAATATTAAAAGAGTGATTTTTAAAGAATAAAAGTTTAAAGTGGGATGTAGTGTGTTGGATATTGATTATGTTTACCTATAAACTAGTTTCTGGGACAAGGAACTTGGGAAACTGTATTTTAAATTAGTTTATAAAAACTATACAAGATAAATACATACAGATGACTTTTGGTGGTTACTATTTGGTTGTGGGCATTTCCCAGTGAATAAAAGTATTTAAGGACATGATACCCACTAACAAGTTCATTTTCAAATGTACTCTGAAGAATCCTGCAGCATGGCTAGTGAAGCATCAGCACATACTGATGTTCTCATACAACATTACCTGGAACATTCCCCAGTAAATAGCTGTGAAGCTTACCCTCTGTTTACTTTTTAGTGTCTATTTTTTAATCATAATATGAGACTATGTCTGGATAAGTACAGAAGGAATTTTTGCTTTAAAGGATTTTTTTCTTGGGTTTTTCTTTTTGAATCTCAGTGAAAGTAGTACATATACATATTAAATACAGTTGTTACAAATGTTGTATTTCAATGATAAATTAAGCAGATAGTAACATTTCCAAGTCCTAGTGACTTACTTTATGGATATCTCCATGTAGTGTTCTTGGAAATAATGCTTTGCCACTGTCTTCTTCCATTTTGTTTATTTATTTATTTCCCTGACTACTCTAAAGGTCTCCCATCCAAGTACTTAATCAAGATTAAGCTTCTGTATAGCTTCCAAGCTCAGACAGTGCTAGCGAGATGCTGCCATCTACTGAGACAGTAAGATACTGAGTTGACAGTAAGATACTGAGAGTTGCTCAGAATAAAAGTAAAACTTTGTTTTAGTTTATGTTAGTCTGTTGCTGAACTATTTGCTTCATTTCTCATTAAGCAACAATTACAGGATATTCTTGTTTGGAAACTAAATCATAGCACGAGGTACAGAACTTTGGCATCAGTTACAACTGTGCCTTCCTGATGGCCTTTTATTTAAATAATTGTAGTCATAGTAAATACTGGATCGCTTTTACTAAGGCGAAATGACATATTTTACTATCACATGTATTGAAAGATATCCCTACCCTTGACAGTATCCCTGTTGAAGAAGGATTTTGTCCTTGCAATAGTGAAGAGGTAGAATTGGTGGAACATATTCTCTTGATTTGTGATTTTTATCTGGGGGAATCACTTATATCTGATTTGTTCTATATTAAGAATGATACCAGTCAACTCTGATTTTGAATATGTTTAGTTCTTGTTGCCTGATAGAGATCCCAAGGTGACACTTAAAGCAACCAAATTTTGGATGGTGGCTATCTAACTTAAGGACACAACTACCAAATTATTTAGTAGTGGTTGATTTTTTCTGGTATATTGTTTATAGTTAATTGGTGATGAATAATTAAGTTTGCTTTTTTTTTTTTTTTTGGTAGTGGCTAATGCATAGGTTCTGTGGAATTTATATTTTGTTCTGTTTCATGTTGAGTGTCTTGGTTGTAATAAACTCATTACTAATACATTGCCGAAGCTGAAAAGTAGAAAAGACAGAATTATCTGGGCTTGACTTTATATTACCATGATAAATCTTCTGTTTAACAGACTGTTTGGTGGGAATTGGGTGTCTGTTAAATTTAAATGTCCATTAAAGATATGCTATATCAACTTTACTTACCCAGTGTATTCAGTACATGGGAAAAACAAATTTTCAGTAGTTCATTTTACATTTTGTACAGAACAAAAACAATACTGCTATATGAGATTTCATTTTTCATTAATTGTGTGTCAGAATCAATTTTGTTTTAGTTATAGAATGGAACAGGAGAAGAAAAGCCAGCATGCACATGCGCACGTGCGCGCGCACACACACACACACACACACACACACACAGAGTATATTAGAGAGAGGGAGAGAGGAGAAAAGTACTTTGTTTTAATGATTGGTTTGAAGAAATGTCCAGTTTCAATAGTCTTGGAAGCATGCTGCTTCTGTATGTTTATCTCTCGAAGAGCATGTAAACATGGATAGTTTGGCCGGATTTCACAATTGAAACCAATGATAGAAATCATATTGTCAAGGGATCTCAGTGCCAATAACGTTACTTTGGGATTTCACAAGTTTCCTTTACTGTCATCTTGATTTCTTGCCAAACATAGTCTCTGCATTTCACTCTCTGATATCACCTGCTACATAGAATTGCCTATCATCTTAATCACTACAAGACATCATTCACCAGCTTTTTGGATGGTTTTGCAGTAGTCATGGCCTTCAAATCATTCAAAGTGCAGTCTCTATCAACATTGTAAAGCATTTTTTTCTTATGAAAATTGGAAATCATATTGCTTTTTTAAAGCTGCAAGAAAGTTGTAGATTGCTGGCTTTAAATTTTAAAGAGGATAGCTGTCCTTCTGCATCTTTTATCTGGTTCATCTTCCAGCACAGCTATCACCTCTTCCAAAAATCTCTTCCTGTACAGTCTTTTGGTTGCAAGAATGGTTCATTGGCTGATTGATTGATACTGTGTTTTGGGGCTGAAACTTGCTATTAAACTCTCATCTTCATTCTCATTTTTTTCTGATGGATGAAGGGGAGTATTTTGAAGAGTTAGAGCTTTCATTTGCTAAAGTGGTATTTCCAGCATCTCCTTCTAATACATCTGATTTTGGGCACAAAGAGGAAGAACCATTTTTGAAAAATGATAATGTAAACTATAATGTGAATTGTAATATATGACTGGCAATTGTTTCATGATGTCTTTCAGCACTATTGGATTATGCAATTTGCATACTGTGATCAGCTGTGCATTCCATCTGTGATTGTGCAGTGTGATGCCAAGATCTTCTCCTTGCTGATTTTTTTGTCTTCTATTGATCTTTCATGCTTGAATGCCTGGGTGTTTAGGGACTGTGCGCCAGAATAAACCAGCCTCATCTGTGTTGAATTCAACACAGTATGAGGCATTCACTATCAGTGATTTTATGTAACTTTGTCCTTAAAGGCTAAGTTTCCTCAGTTGGGACAGATGTTCACCACCTGTTTGTTCACAGTTCCAAAATTACAAACCACAGACATGCAAATCTAGATTCATGTGGTTTGCAACTGTATTAGCTGCTGATTTTTAGTTCTATTCCACATAAATTAACCCCACCTGAACATAGTTTCACTGCTGCTTCACTAAATGTGGTTTCATGCCCCATTTTAAAACTTTTTTTAACCCCAAGTGCAGTTTATGTACTGCTATTAGTTATATTACACTGAAGACATACTTCTTCAGTTGTCTTTTTGCTTTACAAATATCACAAACAGTTTGTGTGTTTTTACCCCATACTTTTCTCAGGCACATGCAGTGGGTGTCTCTGGGTCTAGTTTATCAATCAGTTGTAACCTGCGTTGCGTGGTGACATTTATTCTTTGTTTCCATCCACTGCTTTTTTCCCCACTGCTGAATTGCATACTGGGGAACTCCGCAGTCATCTTCTGCCCATGATGTAAGCTTTTGAACTCATCTGAGATTGCAAGCAACAGCAAACCGAATACCAATAATGCCAAGATCACCGGTTGATGCATAGAAGAGAGAAGGCCAATGTGTACGCAAAAAGAAATAACACTACTGTATATGCAGATGTGTGTGTTGTCTAGGTTACTTTGGAAACAGCAGAGTTTGACCATTAAACACAGGTGGTGTCTGAATGAAAATTTGTCTGTTGTATTTGAAGGGCTCTAAACTGAGGTCTGTTAAACCGAGGGTGGCCATTTGATCATAACTGAGTGAGGGAGCCTGTAAGTAAGACGATTTATTTAAAATATTTGTCTCCTTCTGTGTTTAAATGATAGACTGTGACTAAAAGTTACAGGAGAAACTATAAAAAAACTTAATAAAGCATTGGTACATCAGAAAAAAATTAAATGGTATGAACATCTGCAGTATAGGAGGATGGTTAAATTGACTTAGCTTTTTATTATTTAGAAGGAAAAGTGGACAGAGACTGCTTCAGCTGTTTCAGAGCACAAGTAAGAACTTCTTATAAGAACAGTCCATATCTGTTTGAGAAGTGCATGAAGGATTCCAACATTTTATCAATAATTAGCAAAATCTGCATTTAATTTAGCTTGGTAATGATAGATGACCAAGAATTCAATTTAGGTGAGGATTCCACCAATTGCATTCACCTTGTGGAGAATATAAAGCCCATTGTTTTGGATGGTTTGATTGTTAAAAATACGGGCCTTACTTGTGCCATTATAGGCAAGGAAATGTTGAACCCTTTGACTGATGAGCAGTCAGAGAATTATAGGGAAGTTGGTGGGAAATAGTGAAGTAGGGGAAAACATGAAGGATCTCTTACATAGGAATAAACATGTTTTACAAGAGAAATCTAAAAGCCTTAAGGAGAGTGAGCAGTGGAATTTTGACTTTAAAGAAGTGCTTAACAAGCCTTACAAAAGACTAAGACAGAAAGAGGCACTTATCTAGTCTTGAAAGAAAAAGGTTAGAGAGAAACTGAGGAATAAGGACGTTTGATTAGAGTAATATTGTAAAAAACCAAGTGTTGGTGACAATATAATGCCTAAAATGTAAGATTAGGATTGGGAGATTTGAAGTCTAGTCCATCTTCAACTTCCTGAGTGACTTTGGGCCAATCATGCTCTCAACTCAATCTACCACACAAGGTTGTTGTAGGGAAAAATGGGAAGAGCTAGGTATGCTGCCTTGAGCTCCTGAACAAAAGGTAGGATATAAATGAAATTAATAACAGTAAATATGAAACCTAGTATTTTGACACATTAAGAAAAAAAAACCTACCTTCTCTTCACCTTTGTTAAGTTTAATAAAATGTGCTTTTTTGGAAATCTTCATTACGCTAATATTCCTCACAACTCTAGAATATAAGATTACCCATCAAGGAGACAGGAAATACTGAATGGGCAGAGTTACAAGCAAACAAAATTGGTTCTCAGCAATAATGTTGAGTAGGAAAAGAAAAATAGATGCTTACAACTATTTTCCAATGATCATACTGTTTTGTGGTATGCTTTCTTAAAATAGCAAAGTTATGTTTATACTAATTAATCTGATCAGGCTTATTTCATGTAGCTAAAGTAGAAAGATGAGGTGCTTTTTATGACATTTAGGAGGTGGAAATATTTGGCTGAACATGACTGAGGGAAGCTAAGCAGTATTTGCCCTGATTAATACTTGGATGGGAGGCCACTAATGCATTTCAAAGCAGTAAGCTAAAGTGAGAAGTCAAAAATATGCTTATGCCAAACCACTTCCATACCGTTATCAGAAAAACTGCATGGATGTGTCTAACTAGTTATCAGGAGTTGTGTTCAACTTGGTGTCAGGCCCAGCCCAAGAGCAACGGTGAAACAATCCAGTTGAGTTCAGTTCTTTTATTTGCTTACACCATATAGACAGAATCTTGCCAGACTAAATCTGTACTACTGCAACTAGTGGATATACCCCGGGAGATTCTAGGGAGTGGCTATCCTGAACCTCTTTCGCTCCCCACGCTCCTCCTGCAGACTGTGTGGTCTTTTGTCTTCTTTCCCTTCCTGGAATGCACACCCTCCTTCCTGATAGCTTGATCTCTGCTGCAGTCCACCACTTCTGGAGGTGTCTTTACCATTATATTTAAGCTTAGTTTTTAGTTTTAGACATCAGTAAATGGCTGTTTTGTTCCAAAAGGTATAGCTACACTGTGCTGCTACATGAAAAGAAAAAAAAAATTCAGTTGCTCTTGATTGCTTAGTGTTTGGGCTTCCCCAAAATTGGAACATCAATCTTTTTATATTTATAGTGTTTTGTTTAACTTGCTTATAAATATTGAGAAAACAACAATCTTTTAATTTTAATAAACCTGAATGGCAACTTTGGTTTTTTTTCTTTGTGTAGGGTTGAACGACCTCGCATAACCAAAGACGTAATTTGTTTTCATGCGGATGATTTCTTAGAGGTAGTTCAACGACTGCAGTTAGATTTGCATGAACCTCCACTTTCACAGGTAACTATTTTGATAGATTGATGCTATTTAAGAATGTTATGCTTTGAAAAAGATCTTTATTTTCTTTCTTTTTCCTTCTAGTGTGTCCAGTGGGTTGATGATGCAAAACTTAACCAATTGCGAAGGGAAGGCATTCGATATGCCAGAATTCAGTTATATGATAATGATATTTACTTTATTCCAAGGAATGTTATACATCAGTTTAAGACAGTTTCAGCTGTGTGTAGTTTGGCGTGGCACGTTCGGCTCAAACTCTACCACTCAGAGGGAGAAAACCAAACCATCTATGAAAAAGATCCCCAAACCGATCCTACATCTTCTGTTACAGGACTTCAGACTGATAGTATAATCCGTCCAGTTGACATAAATGCCTCTGAAGACACCAAATTTTTAAGTAGCCTTCAGACTAAATATGTGAAACAGGAGGTTTCACACACGCAACATGAATCTGCTTTCTCTCTCCAGAATAAAGAGGAGCCAGTTACAGTTAACCTTCCTGAAAAGATGGTTGCCTCCAGTGCTGTAGAATGTCAGAAAGTTAAAGCAAGACTGGATCATGTTCAGTTGACAGGGTCAAGGCTTGAAACTGACTCTGAAATTGAGCTTGGTGACAAATACTTACAGGACAGCTTGTGCCCAAGGGGTCATGTGAATCTGGAAGATACAAGACAAAGTAGTTCAGCTTATCCAAGTCTGCATGGCAAACAAGAAGATGATTTTTTGTGTTAAGTGTGTGTGTATGTGTGTGTGTGTGTGTGTGTGTATATATATATATATATGTTTTTAAAGTACTTTTAAAATTAATGACATAATGTAAAGAGGCTTAAATTCTGTGAGGCAGGTTTCTTACTTGCCCTTACAGCTGTTACAGAAAATAGTTTATGTAGCTTTGTAACATTCCTCAGTGCCTGTCCATAACTGTAAACGTTTCAAAGCACTTAGGGCCAGATGCACTGTAAACACTGCAGGTGTAACATAAAAGTCTTTAAATATGAGTTGTAGGTTTTAGAATAGAGCTGACATTTAACATATATTTTTTGTAAGATAAGCCAGAATTCTTTTTGACAATTCCAGGCTTTTCCATAGAGCTTATTTATACCAATTTTTTTTCTTTTTAATGTGTCAGCACTGTAGTGTAAATAGCTTTTTTAAAAAAACAAAACAAAACAAAAACTTTTTAGTGTGATTTATATTAAAATGTGAGCCGCTTAATAAAGGTTCATAATAATTATTTTTATTTTGAAAAATCTCAGTCCTGGTAAAAAGGGATATATTCTTATATTAAAAATGCATAGATGTATTAAGTTAGATATAATTTGTTGTTGAATTTTCACAGAATCTTATCTGGAGAAGAATTTGAACATTTATAGCAAAGTTCTGCTAGAGCTATTCTACTGCCTGCCTGGAGTTAGAAAGGTACACTCCCTTTTGGTCAGATGGTATACATCGGAACTAAAGGGTAACTTTACTCCCTTTCCTTATTTTATTAAAGTTACACTTTAACAAGGATTGAGCATTTTAGTACTCTAAGAGGCATATGACTAAAGCAGAGACCCAGTGAATGGCAAATCATAAATAAATACAAAAAGAGGAATACAGGTTTAAAAAACAATAATACTACAGTTTGCCAGTTATTTGAACAAAATATATAAATAGACCAGCGGTGATCCACTTAATTCTTCTTTCCTGTCCTTTGGCTGGGCAGTAAATTCTGCAACATCAACGAGCAGATAACTAAAGAGAGTCTTATAATAAATTCAAGAAAGGAAAGAAGAAAAGAGCAATGCAATTACAACCAAGAATATAGCACCAGATCAATATAAATTTCCCTCATGCTTCTGGCTAAATAAAGTTAGGAATATGCTTAGTCTAATTCCTTCTGTATTAGAACTGAAACATAAGCCTTCCCTTCTGTAACAGAAAACAGGAACAACTGCCTTTTTCTGACCTCTCTTTTATGGCACAAACTCACAGTATTCCCAGCTGGGGGTATAACGTGAAAACTCCTGGACATTAAAATGTCAACACTTCCCTGCTGTTCTATCGTGAGTCTTCAGCTTTCCAACCCAGACTATGACTACCATTCATAGCAATTCTGGCCCCAGTTCGTGGTTAAACATTTAATTAACTTCTCCCTGTCATATCACTGAGTTACTTTGCTTGCAGTGGTGTAATTGTGGTAATTTTAGAGATAAGCAGATCATTATACTTCATTTGAAAGTAAGATTGTTTTAACATTGCATTTAATATGTGGGCCTAAATCCAGTTTGTGAGAAAATGCCACTGAAGCCAGTGACATAAAGTGGTTGAGAGTCAGCAAGTCTTACTCTTCAATGGGACTTAGTTATGTCTAACTTAAAATTGACCTGAGGTAGGGAATATACACTGCCTTGCTGCATCCTCCCTTGTTTCTCTACAAAAGAGAGACGGACATAATGAAAATATCAGTTGGAATGCTTTGCTGTACTGTATAGTGGAACCTTACTTTGCAATCTTAAAACTGTCAAAATGAAGGAGAAAGCAGATATAAGGATGGAGAATAATTCATCAGTTCTAACTGGACCTTTGGTAGAATAGTCATGTTTGATTTTAGCTTCTTTCACTTTAAACTGTATGGGTATTTTGAAGCTTTAATTTATAGTCTTGAAGAAGAAAAGCACAGCCAGAAGAAATGCCCTCGGACCTTTAAAGTGATGACATATAAAACCAGATACAAAAATTGCCATGCATTTTAAGCATTACTAGAAGGCTCTTATTATGAATGCAAGAGTCAACATCCTATTTTCTATACAAAGTTATGGTTATAGCCCTTTCAAATTGCTGCTGTCAGCAAACTCCACTATTTTTGTGTTTTTCGTACACAGATTGATAAATATGTCTTAACAATGTCAGGCAGTTTCTTTAATTTTTAAGAAGCTGTTTTTGTGTTTTCCCTTTGAGGTATGCAGCATGCTGAAAATGTTGTGAAGTGCTGAAACCTCCTTTTGTTTAAATCAGTTGTTCATCTGAAACTAAGCTCTCATTGGATGGTGTCATTTATATCTTTTGTAGGGCTCATGTATCTGACATGTAAAAACCAGGATGGCTTCTAGAAGGCAGCAACGTGTTAGAGTTCTCAGTATCTCTCTGCTGTCTTCTACTGATTATCTAAATCTTTGCAGGCCAGATATATTGGCCATAATCTTTTGTTTTTCCTCCAGAATTGTGTCCTTCCTAGTTTCCTTCCAGTTATCTATTTTGAATGGTGCAACAACATATAAATGCTACTTTTTATGATAAGTGCTCTGAGCCTTTTTGATACTCTCCACCTCACTCTAGATTTTAGGAGGAAACTACTAAAAAATCTCTACAGTTTAATCTTTTCCAAATAGAATAACTGTTGGCATTATGTTTGGTTATGACACCCTACCCTCCCTTTATTTTAACATACAGCAGGCAAAGAAGAACTTCAGCAATTGTAAACATTAGGAATTGGGTTGAAGAGATTGGTCCTTAAACATTTTTTTTTTTTTGGTTTTGGAATTTGAGATTTGATGGTAATACTCATGATCAGTGAAATCCGGAAAAATATGGTTAGCATTTCTGAAAATGGAGGATTGACAAACATTTGGAACCCTAGACCTAAAGTTTTAATGGAATGTAATTGACTACAAAATTTGTTTTGAAGTGAAAAATGTTTGTACTGTGTATCCCAGACAACAATGGACCATTCCAAAACTTAATTCATGGATTACGCTTAAAACTTGGTTTAATCATAGTATACAAATCACAGTTGCTTCATTGAGAAGGTGATGCACTTGAGAAGGTATAGGCACTTTCTGATGGAAGGGTCCTAGAACCTATTTATTATTTATACTTGGCTAATCAAGCAAAATTGTAATTCTTCTTAAGAGACTGAAGTGATGGGAAAATATGGGTGGGTTATATCTAGACCCATACTACAAAACTCAGTGGCTCTGTACAAAATGCCAATTGCCTATTACCTGGCTAAGCACTGGGAGGAAAAAAGGAAGCCATAAAATATTTTGAATGCCTACCTTCTACATTTCTATAAACAAAAACTTACAGAAGCTAGAACAAGCAGGAATCAGTTCACTGTTGTGATACTCTTCCCATTACAGTTGTCTGCACACTTCCCTCAAAAATTCTTCTAACCATAAGAAAAGCCTGTGTTGTGCTTTAGGTAGAAAACTGAAACCCTGATGAGTTGGTAGATTTTTCCTTTGACAGTTTTGAATACAATTGGTTACCTTTATCCAGAACAAAATACAAAAATGTTTCATCTGCATTGAAAAATAAGTGAAAGAGTACATAAACTCATTGTCCCATATTACTGAATATTTTACTAGAGGATATAAGGCTAGTTTAAAACTTAAACTAAGCTGGTTTGGTTTAAATATGCCACAATGGTAGGGTTTGCATTTCACTAACCTATACCACAGTATGGATTAATGTGATGTATGAATCCTGAGAATGAACGGAAGAGGTAAGTAGCAATGAGGAAGCAATATATCTTCAAACTATCTTAGTTCATAAAGGGCTTTAATGGCAATTGTTTCTATTTTAATATTCATTGAGAAAAGGAAGGGGAGATTACACATGCAAAAATCAGTTTTCTACACATAGAACTAGTCAGACATGTAGAGAAAGTAATATATTTTTTCAAAATTTTATGTTCCTTGGAGTTAATAAATTATATTGAATGATGCAGAGGTTTGTCAATGGAACTGGGCTTTTCCACTAAAATATCCTGATTTTCTAAGACTTCAGAAGTCAATATGAAAGGAATTAGCAAAGATTTGGCAGAGGCAGCTTGCACAAAGATGGACCTCATGTGTCCAAACTCCTCCTACCACTAGCTCCATTACCAATTCTATTTTTCTATTATAATACAAAGTGATTTCTGCTAACTCTAGGCCCTTCTGGTTCTCCCTGGTTGTTTGCATTCATTGATTGGCTTGCACATCACACTAAACTATGGTTTATTTAATAAACTGCAATTGGTTATATTAAAATATAAATCACAATATATTGTATATTAATATATATCAGAGTATATACTAGGGTTCTTTACACTTCAAAAATTATTTAGAGTCTAGCATGAGCAAAACACATCTCTGTTACTAATTAAAAGCAGTCTTGTCTTTTCTTGGGCTTCTGTGGGAGACTGAAAATAATGCCTACTTGAATGAATCAACTCATTAAAATGACCTTTAAAGCAAACACATGTTTTGTCTGGGTTATGGTGGCCTGACAAAAGTTGTGGCTGCTCTAATGAATAGCTGACAAGTGTCATGCTCATGTGAGGTCTAAAACACTGCCATATCATTTTTAAAGCATCCACAGCCCTCATTTTATTGTTAAGCTCAAAACAAACCACATGATGGCTTAATCCTGTCAACAATGCATGATGTGTAGCATTACTTTAAAAGCTTAGAAAGCATTTTCTCAGAAAATAGCCACTAGGCTAATACTTCCCAACTTATAGTCCAGAAGAGTACTGCTACTAGTTACTGATCTAGGCATAAAAATATTTGGAGGCTCATTTGGTAAACTCTTGTGATAGTATCTTGAGGTGAGTTCACTGCCCAGGAGTTATTCCCTCCCATATAATTTCTAGGTACCCAGTTGAAGCCAGTCTCTGTCTGGTTGCTATAAGTAGCCTTGTGCCTGCACAGGCCTTCCTTGCTCATCTCCAGGTTGAAGAACCTACAGTCTCCAGAGCAAATAAGGGGTAATCAGGATGACCTGAATGCTCAGTAGCACTCTTGTGGGCCACCCTGGCAATGGTCAGTGTTGGAAGAAACACGTAGAACAATCCTGGAACCAGGGTGGTGCTGTCGTCTATTGCCATTCTGCTATCCTGAAAGTGGAAGAAGTAATGCTGGATCTGTTGGTTGGTTTTGTTCGCAAATAGGTCAACTTGGAAAAGGCGGCCATTTCTCTGAACTTGGCTGGAATTTTTGGGGTGTAAGGTCCTTTCTCTGCAGTGTAATGCTTCATATTTGCTGATTCTTTTATATATTCTGCTATTGAAATCATGTGGCTTCTTTATGAAGTTTCTTGATATAAATCAAGAAGCTGTTGTGAAATTGTCTGTCTAAGGGAAGTGTCACCTTGTACTGGGACCATGATCCTGAACCTACCAGTTCCAAAAATGGTTTCCCAACCCTACAAGCTGATGTTTGTAATAATCTGGGCTTTGACCAGATCCCTAAGTAGTGCTTTTCATTATATTATATTATATTATATTATATTATATTATATTATATTATATTATATTTCAAATTTAGACACCGCCCATCTCACTAAGTGACTCTGATAGGTATATTAATATCAGCCATCAGTGTAGTAATTGGACTAGTTCCTGGAGTACTTTTAGCCGAATGCATATTCTGTTGGCGAGGTCATTGTGAAGGCTAAGAAGAAATTGGTTGTAAGTCAAAATGAGTCTGTGGAGCTAAGTTTATGATTGTGATCACTTTCTGGGTACTTATCAACTTTATAATGGTTTGATATGTTGATTTCAGATCTCTTGAGCCTCCATCTGTAACTTATTTGTCTGTTCTTGTGATTGACATCCAGGTAAAGGCTCTCTTAGTCAGGACTCCCAGATGCAATATCTCCTTGGAGGCTGAGATCTTGGCCTAATTCATTATGAATCTTTGTTTTTCTAGATGGTAGTTCTGTCCATCAGTGCGATCCCATTCAGAAGGTTTTCTGAATATATGTGTATGCATATGGCTCTTGTTTAAAAATGACCTACCACTGTGGTTGGGCAAAAACAAGGCACTTCTGTCAGACTGAAAGGGAGCTTCTTGAACTGAAACTGGTTATCAAGGGGGAACTTCAGTTCTACTAGTTTGGTAGGAATGTAGAAGTAGGCCTACAGTAAGTCCCCTAATGACAAAAGATTACCTGGTAGGATGGCTCCTTTAGTTGATCTCATTCCTGAATCTTAAATTTGCTTCGTGAACTTGTTTTATGGCCCTGAGAGTGAGCATCCATGCTGTTTTGATGAATACACTGAAGAATAGTTCTTCCAATGATACTTGCTCTAAATAGTGATGTCTAACAAGTGGTCAGTGGCTTAGATTATTATTTAATGCTTTTCCCCAACCCTGTACACTTGTGATGGTAGAAACCTGTCTTCCTGGCTTCTTTGAAATTCTAGTTAAGCTGCGCTGATGTTAGTCACCTAACATTTTTTCACTCATAATTGGTTTGGATACAAGTTTGGCTTTGGGTTGGTGGTAGTCTTTCCAGTGTTTAAACCAGAGTCTACTGCAGTTCACCACTCCCAGCCCCATAAACTTGTGCCACACTAGAAGGGCATTTGAATTGAAGTGTGATGCGTGGTAGCAGCTAAGGAGGGGAAGGTGCTGGAAGATTGGAGGGGATATTGGCTCACAGGCCACGTAGAAGAGAAGGGGAATGAGGGGTGAGACATCAGCCTTGCCTTAAGACCCCTCTAGATTATTTTTTTAAACAAAACCCAAACTACCGAAATATTCCAGGTTTTGGTTTGGCCAAACTGACAGGCCTAATATGGTTTGATCAAACTTTGAAGTTAGTGTTCATTGGGGTTCAGCATTTTGTGTTGAATGGATATTGTTTAATAAACATAGTAACTGGTGAAGTCATAACATGGTTTTGTTTCAGCTCAGCATGAAGTGTGAAGCTAGTTGTGATTTATAAACCATGGTTTATGGCTCAAACCAGCCAATTGTGGTTTCTTTAATGAACCATGCATAATACAACGAGTGAATACTGTCAGAGGATTTGGAGGTTATTTTCTGCTCATGAGCGCTACCCATTTTTGTAATTATAAAGGAGTGCTATCTAAGAATGTATTTTGAGATGCATTTCTGGTACTCTTAGCAGAGAGATGGACACCCCTCATGCCAGTGCTCAGAGCACAGAACTATCTTAGATCATCAGCAGCACAGCAGAAGCAAGCCCTTTCCTGTCAGATTAGGCTGCTTTGATTGCATGGGTCAGCTGAGGCACTGGTGCTACTAAGATCCCTTTCCTGAAATTAGTTCTGTCTCCTATCTTAGCAGGTGTCAGTAACACTGTTCCACAGAGTTTATATTTCTGAGTTAATCTTGAACTGTGACTAAGGCATCTGACTTAAAAGTAAGCTCTTCCACGGATAAAGCTGGCTTGGGCATTTGCAGTGCTTTCTCTAGTGCAGTGCCCAAGACAGCGTGCTTCCAGATTCCTGTTGCCAGTGTTGTTTTCTGTCACTTTGGCATTTTCTTAAAAACGGTTTTTCAGCAGTTAGGCATGTGGGATGGCCTTTTTCAAAGAATGGGTTGGAAGACAGATATTCATCAGCTGTCGTTACATTTCTTTGTTACTGAGGTAGGGAAAAAAAGTTTAATTCAGGTCACCTTAGGGAAACAGATATTTGGAAAGGGGAGGCAAACATTTGTAATAAAAGCTCTTTTGTAACAGCATGAAAATTTTCATTCTCTCTGGTTAGCTGAAGAGGTATGAATGGTTTATAAAGAACATCCTATGCCTACTAGCTGCCCAGTATCCAATATTCTCATTTTTATTTAAAAAAAATTATGTAAAGGGGCAAAATCTGTATAAGTAGCATAAACCTGACTGGATGGAGTAGTTTAAAAAAAAAAAAGGCTTGGCTCACATGCTGTGTGACATATTTACATAATGGGGAGAATTAAAAGGTTCTCAGATTATTATAAATCATAGAGAAATTGATACAGTGGTGATGCTTCTTGTTCCCAAATGGTTTGAAGCCCTCAGTTATGCATAGAAACAAACTGGCTTTTATTTATTGTACTTTTCTATTGCCCAGTAACAAGAGTTGTCTTAATTTGAGAGGTATAATTGAAACAGCTGCAACTAAGTATAGTTCCTTTGTAAATGGGCATTGCATTGCAATTTTGGCTTATTCAAAAGCTTCTGATAATTGTGCAGTGGTCTGCAAAAATTGGGAATTGGCGATCTAATTCTTCTGAGATCATTTAATGCCCCCCCTTCTAGGTATAAGAAAAAATAAGTATGAATTTACTTTTTAAAACAACTTGTTGAGAAAGAAGATTAGATGTAGTTTGGAAAGCAGAAAGGTCTAAATAGTGTTTAAATCCAGTGTTTATGCACAAGTGAAAAGATATCTGTATAATCCAGCTCAAATCATCCAGATCTCCCTGTTTAGTTATAATGCCTTTCACATTCTCTTCCAGATAATCCTTTGATTCAGGAAGAATTTTTAAGGGACTTAAAGTCCTATAGCGAGGGTATAAGTTATGAAAAGTTGTGCCCAATGCAGTACAGTTTTATAGCTTTTGTATACTTGTCCTCAGAGTAATTTTACTGCTTCTTTCAAACTGATAAACTTTCTGTGAAACAATTATTGGAATGCTTTCCATTTTGCTATCTGAATTCCTGATCCCTGAATTTAACTAATGCCTAATTATGTAAATCAATTTTATTCAACTATGTTACAGAAGACTCTCAGTAAATATGTTAGTCACTGCTTGGGGCGAGTAGTATAGATTAAAGAATTGCCAACTGCCATAGAAAGACTATTTCATGTGATGTGAGTCAGCTGCTCCCTTGGCTTACTTATTTCCCTGACACCAGGTGTAGAGTCATAATCAGTTGTGCACAGGCATTTTTTCAGTCCTCTCAACTGCTGCCAAGGAGGCTTGAAGGATATCATTTCTGGTAGTTCGTTTCTTTCCACTGGAAGACACTGAACCCCCTTCTTTTCTGCCCCTTTTCCTACTATGTGGCTGCAAGGGGAGTAAAATGGAAACTTAGAACTCTGAAAAGCTCAATTTTCTTATAGCTTCCCTAGAACTTGATTTCTGTCTTAAAAGTGGGAAGGGTCAGTTAATACTTTAATAGTTTGCATGACATAGCTGAGGAAGGCTTAAACAGCCCTGGAACTGTTTAATTAAGTGAATAGCTTTTTCAAGCTATATACTAATCCTGGCCTTGACCCAGTTAAGTGTGTTGCGCAAATACAGCTGAACAATCATCTTTCCATAGCAACTGTATTTAGACTTGCTTGTCCCATATTGGAAACAGAAAATCAAAGTATTTATGAGACAAATTCCACATTTTAGTATTTCATATCTGAACAAGTGCTCAGTAACTAATGCTCTTGCTGTTAATATCAATTGTATTATAGAGCTTGATTACATTAAGAATTTGTTCATCTCCTTAGACACTTTTTAAAACTGCCTTCTGCAATCGATGCTCTCAAGAAGTGCAGATTTAATTCTCAGAATTATTGACAAGACTGTTTGCTAGGAAATTCTGGGAGTGTGCACATTGGAAAGATGGTGTTTTTAGTAAGAGTGTTTTACATAACTGCAAAAATACTAACAGTTCTGGTATACCATTGTGTAGTTGCACGTTTTATGTACTGTGACTCACTCACTCGACACGTCAGACATAAGAACTTAAAACGCAGACACCACAGAAAATATGAGGTGGTTTTATTTACAATATGTACATGAAAATCTGATAGCTCTGCTTCACATACTGAAGAATCACATCCAGCAGCTTGGAGGTCAAATATATATTTTAAATAGTTCCTTTTGAGGCAGTAAGCTTATAGCAGCATTGCTCAGGAATGTGAAAAAAGTTTAGTCCCTTCGTACATAGAAAATATTATATCCAAGTTCTAACATCCCTCCAATTAGCAGAATCCAAAGAGGAATAAAGACGTAAGCAAGCTTCATTACAGTAAATTGTTCCAGTTTTGCACAGAGAGCAAGGCAGAAGGCCAGCTTAAGCAGCATTGCTGCAAGATACCAAGCTTTTTTCTTGAGATTCTGGGAGCCATTGCGAGGATCATAGCCAGACTTACAACGGCGAGCCATTTTCACAATGATCATAACTAGAAGAATAGTATCAAATATCCAAACTGGAATAAATATTAGAAACCAGTTCCATGGTGCCTTTTCATCCAGCTTTAACACCAACATGATGAGGAACAGTAATGTAAAGAGCCATGTGAGTAGCACTCTCTGCGCCAAGGACATTCTCATTTAAACAGCCTTGGTAGGTAAGTAGTAAGAATAGAAAAGATACTCCCTAGAATAAAGGAAACAAAAAAAATAGGGTGACGTGTAAAAGCATATAAAACAACATCCAACTATATCCATAAATAAAGCTGGTTTCCTTCTTACTATTTTTCAAAAACATTCAGGCAGTAAATATTGTGAACTGACAATGTTTGCTTTTTATGAGTTCTATAAAACTGAACAGAAAGATCTACCTGTTTTGCTTAATTCACTTGGCCTTGCACTGGAGATTATCATAACAGACTACTTCCTTGAGGAAATCCACAGTGGAAATTCAAATATGTTTAACTCTGATAACCTCAACTAAACAGCTATAACTCTAGTAGAAGCAGAATGTTGAACCCATTAGCCCTAATTTCACAAAAGTAAACTTAACTGAGGATGTGCACGTTTGTATTATTAGCGTAGCAGAACAATCAGGGAGCCCCTGCTTGTAACTATTATTCAGGAACATGTTTGGAACTGCTGCCTAACAATTCTGAACCTCTTTCCTTTTGGCACCCATCAGCAATCAAATATTTTTACTGTCATCTAGTCCTGTATTTTCTTCTGGAGAATATCTGTGTTGGCACTAAAAATTGCACTGTCTTGATGGCACATAATCAAAAAGTCCTGTATCAAATTGGCTCAACATGTCTAAATATATATCCCATATTGGATTGAGTGCTGGAGAGATTTTTCATTGTGCCCTCCTTTTCCCCAGATTTCCCTGTTGATAAAATACATTGGCATACTAAAATGCAGTAACAAACATAACAAATATACAAAAAACCAAACACAACTAATATCAAAGCTGTCGACTTTGTTCCTATCACCAAGTTTCTCATAAATGAAAGTAGAGCAGTTTCTGCAAAAAAAAAAAAAGCTTATATGCATTACGCATATGAAATTAATGAAGCTGCTAAAATTATTCATACTGATTTATTATAGCAATAGTCATATGATTACACAGCATGCAACAAAGCATCAGAAACGGAGGCACTGCGTAAGTATTACCAGAGTAATGTTTCTAGCTGTTACTTCTAAGTGAATGTAAAATATAGTGCAACTTTTGAAAAGCTTTCCAAGCATCTGATAAATTCTAAGCATTTTGCTAACGCAGAAGGTATCCGAAGGGAACCCACAGGTAAGTTATGATCCTGAACCTGCACTTTAATAACATTAACCCAGATGCAGGATCTCCAATGAGAACGAGGCAAAGCTAACAACCGCGCGCGTAGATCACAGCCTAGAACAGTGTTGTCCAAACTTGGCCACTTTAAGATGAGTGGACTTCAACTCCC